TAATACTAGAAGGGCATTCTACCATATGAGGAGGGATATGATTTGGTGCAGATGTTGAAGCAGTTCCAATCATTTCTATATCTTCACTTCCTACCAATCTTGTTGCTCCTTGTGGTGGTAAATTGAGTTGATGCATCCCAAGCATTAACTCCCTCAATTGCTCTTGCATTTGTGCCATTGCACTCTTCATTTCAACAAGTTCTGCCATGATAACACTTAGAAAAGAGAAGATGTCTAATATAGCTCAAGACAAATAAAAGAGAGGACTTGAGAACAAAGAAAATACTAAGAACAATATTAGTTTAGAAGAAGATAATCCGCAACTTCTAATATGTTTATGTCTTTTCAAGAGAAAGGGGTAATCCACTCTTAATCAAGATTAGACAAAGCTCTGATATTGTAAGTGTACTCTTGTCAATCTGTCAAGGACAAAAACATGATAAAGACAAATAAACAAGTAAGACTTCTCTCAAAGAAAGATGACAAAATAGAAATAACTTGATATGTATATTAAGAAAGAAACTAGAATGGCTATTGCCAAAAATCAAGAAAACTAGAGACCCTTGAAACTAAACTGGAAGCAAGAAAGAAGTTGACAAGAGTGAAGAAGGCTTCACTCTTGTCTCTATATATACTATCTTACTAGGGACTATGTGGCCATGTTCTATAGGACCTCTAATATATATTGATTTTGTAGGACACATGTCTTGACTTACAAGGCAAGTTTTTTTACGTGTGGGCCACATAGTTAGCTTGGTCTTCAAGCTAACAATATGTGAGACACATGGCCAACTTGTTGACCACGTTTCTAATCCCAATAAGTCAATTAAAGATACCTATAAAGTCAAAGCATCATCTATGAAGCTTCTAGGAAGCTTTCATATCAAATACTATAGAATTAACTTACTTTTACATAATTTTCCTTACTTCTATCTATTTATACATGTAATTATTGGCTTACATGCGTATGTCCATGACACCAAATCTTTGTTCTTAATACCTTTAAATAATCAATTGTCACATGCAATGGCCTAAAAAATAAATTATTTTAAAGAATTTGCTTTTATTATTATCAATAACAAATCTTTGATATTATCCTTCAATTCATATTGAAATTGATTAATAAAGATTTTGTCATTCAAATCCATATTACAAGCAAGATTTTAAAATTTAGCAACATATATGGTAATTGACCATGATCTTTGTTGTAAAAATAAGAACTTGGTCTCTACTACTCTTTTTTTTATCACTTTTTCCAAATGCGGCCATAAATACTTCTAAGAATAATAAAAAGAACATTTCTTCATAAAAAAATCATGAATCTTTTTTTATTAAAGGTGCAAACTAGAAAAGATCACTTCTAGATAAAAATGCACTCAAGAATCCAACTTGAGTAAATCTATTAAAGTATTGAAAAAGATATAATCTTAAATAGAGCTTGAGTTGTTACAAAAATCTTCAAAATTTTGATCTTGTTCCATCAAACTTTTTGGAGATACTCATCTTTATCTCCCTTGTACTTATAAAAACAAGGCTTTTTAGATTTGCTTCCCTTAATTGCACAATTTCTTGGCATAGACTTTGAACTTCTTTCATATGTGTATAAATAGTACTTTTATAGTTGGTATTAGTAATATATGAAATTTTAACCCTAAGAGTATTGACAAGCTTGTGAAGATCTACAATAGTTACAAATCTATTCTTACTTTTGTCAAATATAGTATTGATAATTTTTTCTTTTATTTCAAATAACTTAATAAATTGACAAATTAAATAGAAGAAAGTAATTTATAACTTTTAATGTTAAATAAAAATTTCCACAAAGAAAGATGTATTGTTCTCTTTAAAAAAAAATCAAGGTTTAAAAAACTAAGAATGTTACTTCAAAGATATATAGTCTTCAATCTTTGAAATACAATAATAAAAGTAAGATAATTTACTCTCTTTTAAAAATAAGTTAGAAATAATGAGTTATCACTCTTGTCAATTTGTCAAGGATAAGAATTCAAAGAAGATACTTTAAAAAGTAAGAAATGAATCAAAGAAAGATGAAAAAATAGAAATAAGAAAATAAATATATTTAATCAAAAACTAGAATGTCTATTGTCAAAGATTAGGAAGCTAAAGACTCTTAAAACTAAATTGAAAGCAAGAAAGGAATTGACAAGAGTAATGAAGGCTTCACTCTTACCTCTATATATATTATCTACCTAAGAGCTACATAGCAACATTCTACAGGACCTCCAACATGTGTTTAATTTGCAAGACACATGTCTAACTTCCAAAATAAGTTTTTTATATGTGCACCACATAATTAAGTTGTTCCACAAGCTACTAATACATGCAATACATGGCTAATGTGTTGGCCAAGTTTTTAACCTATCAATCACCTATAGATATGTATAAAAGTGAAAACGTAACAATGAAGCTTTTAAGAAGCTACTCTATAAGATATTATCAAATTAATCTAATTTTATATATTTCTACCTATTCATATTATTCAAATAATTATTAAAATAAATATGTCTATGATATAACTTTATAAGTGTGAATATCTCTATTTGAGATAGAATTATTATTTCAACATTGTAACATTGTTAGAATAAAGTTTTAAAATTATATAAATATTGTACTATCAACATTCGTACTTTTATTTTTTACATACTTTTATTTTTTGTGTGATGAAGTTTTCTTGTATATAAGCTTGAATGATAATGTCATTTACTAAATATGTATTTTTGAATGCTAGCCAAGCTTCATTGGCTATTTTTCATGCTTCTACATGAGAGAATATTAAATTATCTACATAACTTTATTTGACTACTAGAGCTCTATGATCTCTCATTTTCTACATGGTAATTGCAACTTGATTTGTTGGTGGTGTTGATATTGCTGCATTATTTTTTGAAATAGGTATTGATTTTTTTTCTTTATCAAATACCAACTCTTATAGTTCTTTTATTTTGAACTTCATTTGGATTTTTTGTTTTCAAATTGTATACTAAGAGTCATCAAACTTAGGCCCTTTCTTAATTCAAAGACTAGTTGTAACCATGTTGAAGAAAAAAGAAAAAACAAGTTTAGTGATGCCTTATTTTTCTGTGAAGAATGTCTTTGATATAACTTCCTTTTCTTATGATTATTTATTACTTTTTTGGAACTTGTATTACAAAATTTGTAGAGTTATGCTCTGATATCATATTAGAATTACAGATTATATTTGTATAAAATAATATTGAGTAATTCACACAAAGTGTGTGTCTTACAAAGATTATCCAGTTTAAAAGAGGTGTAATTAGAATGTTACAACTCTTCAATTAGATGAAACTCTATTGCTGCTAATTTGGTTACTCCACGTGTATGGTTACTTAACATTCTGTTCTAATACAAAATAAATCATGGTGGTAAAAGAGGATGTAACTTTAACAAAATTAAAATATAACTTTAACAACTCTCTAAAGAAAATGTAGTCTTATGCTGTAATTTAAATTTAGATTATAAATCTTAAAGATAAAACTTCATGTTAAAAATTAAATAAATATTAATTTGGCTTAACTAATATAATAGAATTATAATCATTTTTAAGAAATAAAAAAATATATATATAATTGTATTTGTAGTTCTTGTTTCTTTTGCATTATAAAAATATTTAAACATGCCTTTTTAGATTCTAAAATATCTAATTATTAAATAATTTAAAAAATAAAAAAAAAGAATAAAAAAAAACTCACGTCTTTAAGTTATTTTGAAAAACTAAATCACGGGTCAAATTATATTTGTACAAAAATAAATCTCCAAGATAGTGTAAAATTTTACACAAAAAAGTGCTATGAACATTAGCATTTTGGATCAAATAGGGTGTAAAGGAATATTTGACTCTCAAGCATGAAACGTGTGCTGTCCAAAGTTTTAAGCTTAAGGATGTAAAAGCTATCTGTTCTTCCTTCAAATTGTACTGTAGACCTTGGCTCAAACTCCAACGCCCACTTGAAGACTTCTTCGAAATCTTCCGTGATGCAGGGGGAGATTCTACATGATCACCCTCTCTCTTCACATGCTTGCATTGCTTGCCCGGCATGCCAAACTGTGTCTATGCCCTCAGGAGGAGCCATCCATTGCTCAACTCTGACATGGGAAGGTGAGGTAATAGTACCGTGAATGTAATCCTGTATTGATCCACCGAAATAGAGTGACTTAGAGTGTCAAAGAGCCTCAGAAAGCTCCTGTTCCACGAGCTTGCGGTTACCATCATCTTTTCATGCCTTGCGTTGCTACAGATCCTTCAAATTCGGAGGAAATGACTGTCAGCAGTTGAGAAAATTTGCATTGCTGGAACTGGAAACCCACTGAGCGCCTGGGACGAAGAAGGATAGCTTTCATTCATGAAAACACCTTTATTGCCAGGATCGGTGAGGACGCTGGAGAGTACATCCGGGAGTACATCATGGTGGTTTTTGCGCCAACATTTCGGAATAGTGTGTGGCTGCACACACCAGAACATGCTCCTCAAGCAGGCGTGAAGCAGGTGGAAGAAAAAGCTTTTGATTGTCTGCTTTCCATTAATAGTGCGCTATTCAATCGGTTCTGGATAGGCAATTTCAATGACACCAAGTTCTTGTTTTAGCACCCTTTGTAAAGAGATCTCTTTCGAATGAAAAGGACGAGATTCTGGAGGAATGGCTTCGGAGAGAAGACTCGCACCTGATGTTCATGTGCGACAAAGGTCCCTCAAGATGGTCTGATTTAGTGTGCTGCATCATTCCACTGCAGAAAAGTAGGAATTGCGAAAGAAGTGTGTCTCGCTGATGTGATCGTCATCAAGGCTTTGAGTATGTGGGGTGGGGCAAGCATCATTTATCCTTAAATATATTATCCATCCACACACCCATCCATCCATCAAGTGTCTCTCATCCATCAAGTGTCTCTCATCCATCAAGTTTCTGTCATCCATAAAAGTATCGTCCATTTCAACATTGTTGGGTATGTGTTGAGCACTCTTATTTGGGAACAAACTGAGTCCAACAAAGTATTGTTGGATGCCGTATAAATGTCGAAAATTTATTGAACACTATCACACCTTGAAACTCGCCGCACAGCTTGGAACAGTAACAAGAAATGGGCATAAGCATGTTTTACAGCCTCTCAATCAACGAAGTATACAAGAATTGTCCATTATACAAATAATATAAGATCGACATGCAACTGAAGGTCTCTATCGACGTGAAAGTATCTATCTCCAGTGCGATGAATTACCAGCTTCATTCGAGTCCTACCAACATGAAGGCCGTGCATCTCGCGTGACATGGGTGGAGTTCTTTGAAAACGTGCGGATAAGCTGAGAAGTTGCTTCTGCGTACAAATCAGAAGTAGAGGGCTTTGTCTAGTGGTGAATAATTCGTTGCAAAAAGTTCTTCCTCTTGGAATGGGACGGGTCCACTGTTGTGGTTCCATCAGCGTGGTGATGGTCCGTTGGTTCAACAGCTACCAAGCCTTCGCCCCTCTTTTCGTCATCCGAGGATGAAGAGGAAGACGACGAGGAGCTGCTCCTCGTTTGCTTTGCAAGTAAACCGCCACTGTGACTCTTGGATTTGTGCTTGTGGTGCTTGTGGCCCAAAAGGTTGAAGTGGCCTGGGTTTATGAATTCGCCAGCAGGTGCCTCGCAGTAGCTGCGTCAGGAGATCGTCCAAACATCAGTGTTTATCATTGTAAATAACTGTTAAGTGGAATTATAATACACAAATTGAAACTTTAGTAGCGATTCTGCTGATCGGCAAGAAGCCAACAAATGAAAAGAAGTTCGGTCCTTACTTTCCAGTCGGCACTTCGACCAAACGCGTCACTGGCACTTCTCTCACCACTGGAACCGAGATTTTCTCCTCCACCTCTTCGACCACAACGCGGGGGACCTGCTCAATCCTCGGTACGTCCACGTACTCGATCACTGGCACCATTTCTGTGACCTCTCGCTCTTCGGTGATCACTCTGCGTTCATTAAATAATATTGAACCAATTAGGCATTGGGCTACATCACTCACATTTGATGCTTCGCAATAGAATTCGTGCAACGCAAACTAACCTGTGGAAAGTTTCAATTCTAGTCTTGGCCACCTCCCTCACCACTGGGACACGATCAACGTGGCAAACCTCTTCCATGATAACTCTTGTCTTCGGTACAATGATTATGCGCTCTTCATGGTGAATCTCCTTGACATATTCGGTTTTCTCCACTGTTCGCATCTCAGGGTACCTTTGGATGACCGTCACTCTGGTCTCAAACTCCTTGGGCTGCAAAAGCTCACCCACGTTGTAATTTGAACCGTGGTTAGCCAACCACTCCAGCGACAGAAGCAACCTTACACAAGCTAATTGAAAATGCTATCGAAGAACAGATAAGTACTCGTGCTGTAGCCTCGGATTGTCAATTTCGTACCAGATCTTTAAGATTGGGATTGGGGCAGTAAGCTTCTCCTTCGTGGGTGACCTGCGTGCGGAGACGCAGGTGCGCGAGTTCTTCTTCAGTGTGCCCCGACAAGCCACTATTACTGCTGTGGTGGTGATGAGTATCATGTCGAGCTGCTACTGCCATGCCATTGCTGCCCTCTCCGGTCACCACAACTGGCTCGTGACTTTCCGAGGCCACATTCTTACCAGCTTCCACTTGGGCGGCATCGGCGCTGTGTGCAGCTCGGTCCGTTGCTGTCATCTCTGGAGCTGGTTTTTGAAGTGTCGCCATGGCTGGTGTCACTATCTCCCAAAGCTCTCCCCCAAAACTTGCTAGAAAACCCCACGGAAAATTGGACTTGGCTTCTGAAAATCCTGCGAGAATGGGCAGGGAAAAGACACGATGACTGTGGTAGTGAGTTCGTAGAGAGTTTCAAAGCTTGATAGTGAGCTTAAGAGGACAACATCGAAATTTGATGTTCTTGCATTTAGCCAAAACATGTAGTCAGTTGCGGAAGCTTTTCAACCCTCAGAACTTCTGTACCTGATGCGCAGCTGCTACGAGGAAAAGACCAGTTGGGAAGGTGCAAGCGAGGGCCCACGAACCGACTGAACCACTGGGGGATTCGATGCGTGAACTGCAACAACAAAGAAACGGAAAAACACAAACGCTCACTGCGAGACCTTGGAGGCAATCCTACATCCAAATCGGCAAGTGTCCACAGTCGAGGTGAAGAAATGGTGCCGAGGACGAGCAGCCCGCAACTTCGATCAGAGCCAAGTCGCAACGCGTAAACCCACTACCCTGTCAAGGCGCTGGTCCGGACTGCACAGAAGCAGCGACTGGAAGCCAGGGCCAAATCAGGCAAGAGGTCTGCCTTGTGGGAAGGGGGGGTGGGGTTGCAGGCCACCGTCTCGGATGCCGAGATTGTGTGCGATGATTGAAGAGCTTGCAGGTCGTGCAGATCTTGCGGATGCTCCAGCTGACGCAGTCTTACTTCTCCGGCGGAGTCCAACTACATCAGCTGCGATCTATATACTTGGCCGCTTCTTGGTCACAGCACGTGGTCAAAAAAACTGGTAATGCTCACTCTGAGGACGAGTTGGCAAATCCTCGATTCAGTGTCATTTACTGCATTGGTTTTTAATATGCCCTTCTATTCAAGCTTGTGCGGGCAGATATATCGATGTTGTACCCAGCAACAGAACATTCGGTTGCCTACTTCAGCTTTGCCTTCAAGATCAGAGAGGGAATTTCATTTATTATTCTTCGTTGTTCTTCGCAACAACAACAGCAGATAGATAGATAGATAGATAGATAGATAGATAGATAGATATACATATATATATATATATATATGTGTGTGTGTGTGTGTGTGAAGTAATGTATGGATTGATTCTTTTTACTCATGAGATCGTGCGGTGATGGAATCTTAACGTCCCGCTTTGCAAATTAGCCACTTAACGTGGTGAATAAACTGCTCATGAAGAAGTTTTTCTGAAGTGTCATCTTTGCTTGCTTTTCTCCAAAGAATGGCTTCAACATCAAGAAATTAAATGGATTCTAGAATGGAACATGAATCTTGTAGCATTTTTTTCAAAAACATTTAATCAGTTGATTATTATAATCACTCGATTTAATAATCGTCGTAATAATGGGTGAGCATGGGACGTGGAGGAGCAAGAGAAAAATCTGCACAACTTGGGTGCTAAAATTTTGAAGACCAATTTGTTTGAAGGTGAAAGTGAGGAGTTGTGGAATTTTGAAAGTGATATTTTTTTTAGCAGTGGAAACAATAAAAGCTTTTGGAGGGTTGTAAAAAGTAAATATTGTATTTTATTTTATTTTTATAATCACTTTATTTTATTAAAACACCTATGATTTTTATTATAATTTATGAATTACTTGTGTATAATAGTAGTTAACCAGTTTAATATGAAAAAATAGAATATATACTAGTTATGTGTGTTGTAATAAAAAGTAAAAAAACATGCAATTTTATTCGAAGCTATAATACTTATTCAAATATGAAATAAATCTCTTTATATATTTCAAATCGTAATTATAAAATAATTTATTTAAAGTAAATAGTTTTTCAAAATAAAATAAAATAAAATTTTGATGACTCAGTTTTTGATAATTTTAATTGAATTGGTTTTAATTTAACAGAAATTTTTAATCGGCTGATTATTTGTTGGTTCTATTTTTGATTTAATACAAACCATGAGTCATATTGAAATGATATTTTGATAACATTGAATAATCATTAATGTAATATTCAGTTGTAGATTTTAATTAATTTTTTAGATATATTCATTGGCATCACATATATTCAAGCTATGGTGAAACTTTTCACAAGGCATAAGAAAAGACATATAAATTGCACTATAAAGCTTACAACAATCCTTGAAAAATTTTAATTAATATTTTCCTTATTATTAGGTACTGCAAAAAATAAAATAGTATTCTTTTGAAAAAAGAACATAGATAAAACATAGAATTTATTTTATTTTATTTTATTGATTCTGAAATCTTCTGAGATTATTTCAAATACTTCCTACAAGCCTGGTCATAAAAGCATTATAGAAAATTTCGTCAAAATAATAAACAGTGAGTCTAAATAAAGTTATTATTTTTACATCTTTTTTTTGAGTCACTAGAAGTCTGAGAACAAAATGTAGGCCAAAGTTAGCATAAAAGAACACAAAACTAAGGTCATTATTAATTTCCTTAATTTTTCAAAAGTTTTGAAAATACTCTGGCTTGCAAAAGTATTTATGATTGGAACTTAATATCTTTCATACACCCATCTCCGACCAGTATATTCCTATGAAATTCTAATCAAACTTTTTCTATCAAGCTACTGTATCAGCCCTGTGAATGTTTTCTTTAATGTTTTCTTACAATTATCACACAGCATTCAAACAACGAACTGCTTACATTGAATAACATCTTGTCTATTCTGCAAACAGCAAAAGATTATTCAATCTAAACATAAATAAATTTATTCAATTTTAAATTTATCTTTCAATATATATTTTTAAAATTTATATATATATATATATATATACACATACATAACAATCACTACCCAAAAAAGATATATAAATACAGACACTACAATAATATTTTCATTTTTACTTTTTACTTTTTTCTTTCCCGTAGAGGTCATTTCATTTTTAACCTTCTTCGAAGACCAAGGAATTTACACTTTAACTATGTTTGTGTTAAATAGTCTGTATTAAATAGTTGCAAGGCAAGTCGGAGCTTAGAGAAGGAATTTATATACAGAACGGGTCAGTCCCGGCCTCCGTGGCCAGGCCGGGTCGGGTGAAACCACTGGGTAGCATGACCTCAACAGTCAGCACGTAGGGCGCACGACGGGCAGGCTTGCGGGGGACTCCAGAGGGGGAGGAAGGCTGGCGGCGCTGTCTCGTGGGGCTGGGCTGGGCCGGGCTGGCTGGGGGTCACATGGGGGATGGGACCCATTCAGCGCCCGCGTCCAGTCATCCGTGCTAGACTTGCTTGCTTGGCCTCGTCCCTCCCTTTTCCCCCGGATGGATGCAGCAGCTTACGGGGATGATTCACGCTTTGATTCACGCTCATCTTGTGTGTGTGTTTGTTTCGTTGTTGTTGTTGATGCCACCCTGAGTGCGCGGACTCGCACCCGACGAAGTCACCGTTCACTACAATACAATGGACAGGGAGAGAGGGAGGGAGGGAGCGAGGGAATGCGGGAGTTATGACTATTATTCTTCCGCACCTTTCTATCCATGCTTTCCCTGCTCGTTTCCGACGGAGGCTCGCTGTTGAGGAGGGCTTCGAAGGCGTGCAGCCTGGACCACGAGGATGCGTCAGTTTGGGTCAAAGGATTTGTTGTGTTCCTTCGCGTCGCCAGCTTCGGACCTTGCCGACGAAGCAACAACTGTTGTAGAGGATGAGGAGGAGGAAGCTGTAGCGAAGTGAGGTGAAGGAGAGGGGAGCACCACTCCTTCGCATCTTGTGTGCTCATGTATAGGAAGATGCTTGAGGGGAGTCCAGCTCCAGGACTTTCTCTCTCTCTCTCGCTCTCTCTCATGGAGTTTGCAAAGCTAGCTAGCTCGCTTTACACACACTGTGTAGCAAAACTGAGTCAAACTCTTGTAATTCCTGATTCAATCAACAATGTAGAGAAATTGGGAACATGTCATCACAAATCATAAATTGTACAAGATAATAGTTTGAACATGCTACCTTTTGATGGGAAAAAATGTTTCTTTGCATTAACATGTATAAGAAAATTATATTTAATGGAAACTATGTTCCTTGACTCACTTTTGCATCCTCCATTACAAACCAACATAATATTTTGTCTGCTTGGCTATGCTAACCAAAACAACTTGGATTTACTTTGGCATGCTCTCATACAACCTTCTACATTCTTTTGGTATAATAGAAACACAACATTCTTCAATATGTTCCTACAATTCTAAAATTCTTGTTAAAGCACTTTGATATATTATTTGAGATGGCATTTTAGCCTTGTCCAAAGATGCTCAATTGGATTTAGATCAAAAGATTGTACAAGCCATTTAAGAACAATTATCTTAACTATTAGTAAATATTTTTTATTATATACTTGGAATTGTTATCATGCTAAAAAATCAAATGAAAAGGATCAAGATCATAAGCTATTATAGTGTGTAATAAATCTCTCTATAAGATTTCTTTGTATTGGTGCTAAAGCATTCTTCTTTCAATACTATAAATGATGCCAAGGCCTTAAAACATCATATATCATCAAACCCCCACAAGACTTTAATATATGTTGAAATTGTCTTAAATTGCAAGATTGTCTATTACAAATTCAACATCAATTGCAACCATCTAAACTAAATCAAATTATCTTTGTCTCATCAAAAAAGATAATGCACTCCTAATTGCAAATAGTCCAATGTTCATGGTGCCTAGGAAATTTGAGATGCTCCTTGATGTATTTTTGGTTCAATTTTGGCTTCTTTTGCTTTACATTTGATCTAAGCCTTGCATCATGTCAAACTCTTCTCAATGTATCAATACTTATAGTAACTTGGCATTTCCTATGTATATGTTGGGCAACATCAATACCTCTTAATATAGTAGCTTTGATACATACTCTCTTTTGTGCATCTAAAAGCACTTGTGGTCTACCACTACTAAAAGTTCAAAGATTGGACAATCTTTTCTTTCTAGTTTATAGGAAGTGTCTATGAGTTATTTGCAACTCATTTTTTACATCTCTTGTAGAACTAATAGCTTATAATTTTATAAAAATAGAATTATTAAGGTCTATTCTAATACTAAAAAAATACTTCTTAAGATATACCATAATTATTGAATAGGATTCAAAGAAAACATGTAGAGAGCTTTGAATTGAAATATAGTCCAAATATACATAGGAATCTAAGTTTTGCAATGTTGGATTTTTCTTCTTCAACCTCATTGTGTTTGATGTGAAGAGGCAAAATTAAGTCATGACATGTGTTAAAGCTATTTTTTTTTTAATTACAAATTATATATTTGTGAATATAAATTAAATACCACATAATAAATTTGAAATAATATCTTCTAACAATAAAAATATAAAAAATTATTCATTAAATTTCTAATAACTGAAGCTTATGTTTCTATTTCTAAATGGCTAATTTAGTTATGTTGCATATTATATATTGAATGAACTTGAAGGTGGATAATATAGACCATTCAACTTGGTGCCCAACACGCCTATTTTTTACTAACAATCTTACAAGCTAAGTTATCTTATTTGTATAATGATTTTTTATATTTATAGTGATATTTTTTTAGCTTGATCAACCAATTTTTTTATAATACATCAAATTCTACTTATCAATTTTTATTTTTATTTTTATTTTTTTTGTATAACCATCCATCTTATATATGTGTTGGATCCAAAATATACAAATAATACTTGAGATAATACTATAATTTTTTAATTTTTAATTTTTTTCTCTCTCTAGCAAAAAAAAAAAAAACTTAGAAAAGATTTTCATGT